AATTACCTATTTTTCATAAGTTTCTTTTTGAGATGGAGTCACGGAGGATTCATATAACTACTAAATACGATACTGATATGTTTGATTGCATGCATATTACAAATTGAATAAATCATATGTTTAATTATTTTCGCATAGCCAGAACGGGCTTAGTGGATCACAACACAAAGCCGTATAGCAAAAAAATAATAAAGAAAGGGTATAAATGCAAGCAGGAAAAGGCACGTGATAAAAGACAAATGTAAGAGCATCTCTAACAGCTTCCTATTTCTCACTTTTGGAGAATTTAGTTAGGTTTTTAGCCCAACAGATTCTCCATCTCATTCCCCAAAATAGGGATGGAGGAGAAAAAATGGGGAAGCTTCCCCAAATCTGCAGCATTCTCCAAAATTTTGGAGAAAAAAATGGATTCTTCAAAATGGGGAAGTTGTTGGAGTTGGTGTAAAAATTAGTTGGAGAATATGCTTTTGCTTCCCCATTTTAAAGAAAATTTTAAAGAAGCTGTTGGAGATGCTCTAATAACACGATAATGTACCAAAACAAATTAGCAAATGTTTCGTAACTAAATCACACAATCACTTCATCAGAAGTATTATTATGCAAAAAAGCGTACTGACGCGTTCTCTCTGAGTAAAGCGGGTACGCGTCTTGGTTCCACGAACCGACCCCACCCCTTTCAACCCCTATAAAAATACCTCCTCCCCCTGTTCTCTTCCCAATCTCCACCCCCCTTTCAAATCTCTCCTCCGTCCCAAAGCCATGAGTTACTACAACCAGCAGCAGCCACCGGTCGGCGTCCCTCCTCCTCAGGGTAACTTAACCTGCTCCTCTTCCTGTTTCCTTTTCTAGGGTTAGCGTTTTTTTTTTTTTTTTTTTGCCCTTGCCCCCTCTTGGTTCGCTGATGGGATCTAGGGTTGGCCCGCTGTGATTGGTGGGCTTAGGTACCCGCAAGAGGATCCCGCGAAGGACGCCTACCGACCGCCGGAGTACCCGGGGCCTCAGGGCCTTTCGCTCACGCGTCTACCCGCAGCCAGGCGATACCCGCCTCATGGGCTACCCGCCCGCAGTACGCTTCAGCCGCGCCGCCTCAGCAGCAGAGCAGCAGGTAGCATGCGGGCCCTCTTTCATGGAGGGATGGTCAGTTTTCTATCTCTGTTGAGATCTCTCTTTAGATCTAGATATTTCTCTGTTTATTTTCATTTTTTACTATTTTTTTAACCGATATAGAAGATCACGCGTTTGGGTTTGGGGATTTTCCCGGTGCTTTCTAGGCCGTGCTATCGTGCGCTCATCGGCT